AAGTTATACCAGTGTCCTGTGCAGTGACGATGTAAAGTCAGATATGGCATACGTATCAGAGACCACCGACCAACTGAACTGAACTATAGTAGGTAGGTTATTCTAAGGCGCTTTTCCTTCTTTGCATTGTAACTTGCGCTTCTCTAATAATAGTACTTGATACCATAACTACCCAGTCAACATGTAGAGCTTGTAAGATGTTTGATAACAATAAAAATGTAGACACCGATATTTAGTTGATCACAGCACAAGCATTTGTTGTTTGAATGTGTTATATTAGGCCCGGCAATGTCATAGAAGTTTTTAACAGCCTGTATTGTGTTAACGGTATATTTTCGGAGACCTTAGTTTGAAGGAGCTGTTTATGCTATTTTTAGACATTCTTTTTGATCTAGAAATATTATCATCGTATTTATTTAAGATCACTCGGTTTGCGTTTACAGGGTATTTGTTATTAGGTGTGCAATATTTGACAGAACTTTTCCTTAGGTTTTTTGCAATTGATTAAAAAGCCGTAACGTCAATCGTTCCTACAATTATTGTAGGATGCCTTTATGGCCTCCTTGATTTTCATATTTTTTCTTCTTCAGAAAGGCTGGGGTATTTCTAGATTTCTACCGTTACGTGTCAACGCTCTCCTATTGTGAGGTTCTCTTTTGAATTCCAAGAAATTTTACGCTGATCAAAATCAAAAGCATGCACAATTTGTAACAGCCCAATCTCAAAATAGAGCGCTGACATGGAACAATATAAATCTAGAAAGGAAGGACAGGTGAACTATGAAAATCAAGCAGACCATAACGGCTTCCTACAATTGTTGGAATGAGTGGCGATACGGCCCCAAGCTACTGACTACTAAAAATTTTGTGCATGTGATACTGACAGCATAACAAATATGACCAGAAGTTTCCGTGCTTGAAGCTACATCAGTGGCGTAGACAAGTTTTGACACGTACGTAAGAAAAACAAAAATTATTTTCTACGCCACTGATTCTTTTGTAACATCAGTTGCATACTTATATTTTATCCTTCTTTAGTTGCATCAGTAACGTAGACATTTAATAAATTCTCTATCTCGAAATCCAAAGCCTTAAGGAGTCATATTTATATGAACTTTTTGCCTTAAAATACCTACGGAATCATTCTGTGAAACACTAAATATTTATTAAGAAGTACCTATTATACGGTGCGAGATACTTCTATCTCTTTCTAATACACGTATTGCACGCTTTTTGCGCTTCTCTCTCGTCCACATTATGACGTTAGTCTTATTTGGATTTCAGTTGTATTTGATTGTCAGTGTATATGGAGAGCCATACCTACCTTCACAGAACTGTCTTTTGTGTCCCCTTATTTGGACCTGACTTCGGAGTTGCCACACCAGGTACTAACATACCTATACTATTGTTTTATGGTTAAAAAACCATAATGCCAGTTAGTTAATCCAACAAATTTCCAATCATATCGGGTCCACATCAACGCAACAAAACAAAAACAAGGAACAAAACATAAACGCAACAAATGAACAACAAAACAAATTGAAAACTTAGGTCCACATTGCTAAGATACATAAAAGTTTTGAGTTGTTTTGTTTGGTGCAGGGCTGTGTTCGAAAATTGCTGTAACAATTTCAGCGTTCGTAATTATTTGACGTATCGGTTCCATGTGTTCAGAAATAGAACGAAGTAATTCTTCTGGAATGTCAAATGTGCACTTTTCTTCCCGTGCTTGAGACCTTAGAGATAAGACTTATCATTCTTATGGTTCAATGTTTGTTCACATCGTCTATGTATCAAAAAGTACTCAAAATTGGCAGAATATATATTTTTCACGATAAATAGTCTCGTATCCATAGCGTTTCATGAAGTAGAAAACTGATGGCAGAAAACGTAGTTAGGAATTAATATGCCGTCATCAAGTGTCGTTATAAGACTGTAATAATTTGGGCGCTCTAAAAATAACACAGCATTCCAGAGTAAAATTTCGTCTGTCAATCTATATTTCGTTACTGTGTAGGGTGTTACATTACCAAGTGATTTACAAACGCACCCCAGTTCACACCAAAAAATGTCTGCTGGTTATATGTTTCTTCAGAGTTGTGACCGGGAAAATGAAAAGCGCTTTTGGGTGAGACCATCCTTACGTGAAAGAGATGATCGTGGAATTGAAAAATTATTGTCCGATTTGCGTAAAGCTGATATTGGATTGATACGAGAAATGCGTTCTAATTTTGAGAACTTTTTAAGAATGTCCAGTGAAAACTTGGAAGCGTTAACCCGTGTGAAGTCATTTTAACGTTAAATGAAAGGGTATTTCTTATCTAAATTCCGAATCCACACCAAACCAGCAAAACAGAAACAGAACAACAATCATTGTTTTTCAACAATTAAGCAACAAATCGGCAACATTTCGTCAAGAATTCGTGTTTTGTTTGTGTTTTTGGCAACTTTTGGCGTTCCCGTCGCGTGTCGGTAAAGATTAAAAGGTGTTCTGTTTTCATTTCAGGCAACATTTTCGGTGCATCACAAGTTTCCGGTATTATTATCGATATTTCTCATTTTGATATTTTTTACATATACGGCAGAACATTCAACTTCGTTAATTCTGAAACTGGTATTTTTTAGAAATTTCAGCATACGATATCATGACAGCTTTGCCAGATGGACCAGACAGAATTCCCCAGAGCAAGCGCAAAAATCCCAGAATGGCAACTTTTTAAAAAAAATCCTCCAAATCACACTATTAATGGGAAATTGTAGGTTTGGTTCGAAGAGTTGGGAGGCGCTTTCTACCGCGTAACGTGTGGTTTATAAATTCATAAAAAAAGAAGATTTTTGTAAAACCTGCAAAGTTGTTCCTTAGCTGATTAGCTTTTAGGGCCTTACGCGGGGAATTACACGATCCATCAAAAGGGAATTATAGATTGGCAATTAAATTTTTCTAATATAAATACTCTGTGATCCCAGCATTTAAGTAGTTATAGTTTTTGTGCCGTTGTTGCTCATGAACACAAAACTATAAGCACTTTCGCCATTTGAGGATTGTGGAATCGCAGACCCGTGAAACTGCAATAACAATAAAATCTTTATTCATTGATAACAAGATACAAGGATATAATATTGCTACCCGGAAAGGGCGAAGTTCAGTTCTCATTCCTGGGTAACAGCTGGTCTTCCACAAAACGTTACACTTGACAGAATTCAAATAGAAAGAAGAAAAGAAAACAGTTCAATAGGAGATAGATGTAATCATATATTTTTAGGTGATAGATATTCAACATGGTACATTACTATGGCGAGACCTCAGAAACAGTATCTTGTGAAAAAATCTAGCGATTTGTATTTTAAGTATTGATGACAGCGTTATATGTTCTGAAGATATTATAACAAAGGAATCCTTCAAAGACAGCAGCGACGTGCTGGTGGTGTAATCGTATTTCTAGACCTTATACTTACTTAGGCCCAATTCGGTTATCCCTTAAGCCAGTGGGAATGCAAGAAATGATAGGTCAATTTTTTCGCTTTTAAATTTAATAGCAGGTCTGGACGTTTGTTAATGCATGGCAATCTCGAATTTGTCAAGTTCAATATACTGAGTGTTTATATGTTATCAGTATAGCTACATACCTGTTGAAATATGCGTATTTGTTTGTATTTTGCATGAAAAAGGATATCATCTTTCGTTACATCATAGTAATAATCATTTATTATCAATTTACGGGTCAATGAACTTCATCAAAGCAATCAAAGCAGTAGATATGTACTCTCTATCCTAAAGCACGTGTATCTGTCAAACGTGTCAATCCCTACATCTTCGTTTTGTATAATGGAATTACTATAGACATAGACCTAAAAGTATTAGTAGTTAGTGAAAGATAAGAGCTAAAAAAAGCTAATAAAATATTGGTGGTCAAGTTTTTTGACTGGTGAGGACACAATGACATAAAACACAAAAACTGAAGAAGTTTAATTCCACGGTCTACGCTATTCAAGGGCAACTCGACTGTCTCATGTCATGTCATAGTTACCAGATTGTTCAATAACACCCCGCAACGTATTAAGCTCAACATATAAATCTGAGATTGCTAAAGTTTTATATTTGTATATGGAAATTTGGTGGGATATGAGAGATATAATAGTATGTGTTATTTGCGCTATCGTGACGAATAAGTGCTTTTTTGAATGTTAAAATAGCAATGTAAATAACACAAGCTGTTATAAGATCACTCATAGGACAGTGATGGGACATTTCATGCATACTGATCGGTGAACGAAAATAACTGAACAACACTCACCGCACTGCAAGTGGGGAAAGTGATTTTTCTCAGGCACCAAAAGGAAAGGTTAAATAAGAATTCCATCTGACACGCATAGAACATTTTTAGAAGTCAGATTTGGGTATTTACGACCTGAAGCAACTCCTGCTGGTGTTTTCTACTGTCTTGTGCTTTGAATTGTATCTTTGAATGCTATTTGCTCGTGATTTACAGTTCTTTTTTTCCGATAATTCACCATAATAACACAGAGGGACAATGAAACGAGAAATCCGTTTAATTTTTTTTTATATCGGAGCAGCCGCGCAGGTAGAAGTCTAAATGCCGGAACACCGCTGCCTAAGGTTAGCAGAACTAGGAAAAAATTCCTTTTGTAGATTGTTCCACAATCTGGACACTCTCGGGACAAAGCAGCGGTCGTATCGGCCAGTTCTGGATGTACCAAGTTCGTCACGGTTAGGATGGGATGCCAAAGTCAGGCGGATCTGTCTGGCAGGCACATCATGCGGTATTATGGAAGAGAGCTCTGGGGAGCAAAGCCTGTACGCGTAGCGGTAGAAAAGAGCTAGATCGCCGACGGCCCGCCGCACATAGGGGTATTTGACCAATTTGGCTGGCCAAAAGTCAATTTTGTCATATATCTTTTAGGTATAAATAAACATCCTGTGTTAGTGCTCCGATAGTTGCTGCACATCATAGAAGCCCTTGCCCGCATACTCGCGATTACCGTCGCTTGGAACAACAAGTCTAAACTTGTCCGTCGTTCATAGCGCATTCGTCCCTTATATCTATAAAGTGTGATCGTTAAGTTGGACATCGAATACTATTTACTGAGTGATTAATATTACGCAAATAATTATGGATCCTGAAAATAGAGGTAATACTGCATATTTTATGAATCTTTTATATTATTTTTGTTGAAAGAGATTCATAAATAGCCTAGTGAAAGTATGTACTGTTGTTCTTAAGTTTTATTTATTTATTTTTTGATTATCTAGGAAATTAGTTATACGTCAGGGTCCTTCCCGGTTGTATTTTTCATTGAAAGTTACTGAATAGACCTCTTGTAATACGACAATAAAGAAATCAGCTGCCCTTTTCTGCTCTTTTTCGTTATATTTACATTTTTTTGGAAGTAGTCGTACTTAGCGAATAGTGCAGCATTAAAAGTACTCAGTTTTAATATAATTTTTATTTTGCTTTAGATACTCCAGGTGGCTCAAACTACAGAGTAATATCTAGAAAAAGATTATACGATAAAATGCAGCAACAGAACTTACCGAATTTAGAAGAAAAATTAAATTATTTGGAAAATGAACTTTTAACACATGGTGATTATAGTCAAGAGCAAATAAGAGAGTTGAAGAATAAATTTTCTTATATAAAAAGTGAATTTAAAAGAAGATGGTCAAAAGGTAAGAGGCAAGAAGACAAATTCTTAAAAGAGAATGCTGATTGGCTGCAAGGAACATTCCAGATACCTAAATCTTCCCATGGACGTGTTGGTCGACCATTGAAACCATTTAGTGAGTTATCTGAGAGAAGTAGAAGGAGAAAAACAGAGCAACTACGAAACACCGTAAGTAAAGAGGCTCTCGTTCATGCTGCAAAGGCGAGTTTGCAGAGTTCTGGGAATAGAGACGCATCACAAGTTCTCACTGAATTAGTTAAGTCTCCAAAACGAGGTACTAAGTACAAAAAAGCTTATGCAACACATTTGCAAGTCAACGCAACACAACTTACACCTCTTCGTTCGTTATCAATGTTTGTGGAAGCGGATCTTTCCAGAAAACAGTACGAAGTAATACGAGATTCAAATAAGAAATATTACCCTTGTTATACCATATTGCAAAAGGAAAAACGTAAGTGCTATCCGCAAAAAGAGTCATATCATGTAAGTGAAACATGCGCCGAAATTGAACTGCAGCACTTGCTAAACCATACAGTAACACGACTTTTGATATATTTGCAAGAGGTCTTAACTAACCTTACACAAAAAGAACGTGACAGATTAGAGCTGATAACTAAATGGGGCTGCGATGGATCGCAGCAATCTCAGTTCAAGCAAAAAATGCAAAACAATGACGACACAGATTCCAATATTTTTCAAAGTTGCCTAGTTCCCCTTCAGTAAGTGTGTGGCAAAAACAAGAAAATTATTTGGCAGAATCCAACCCCATCATCTCCAAGATACTGTCGTCCGATTAGGCTCAGGTTTATAAAAGAGACTACTGATACTACAAACAATGAAATCAAATACATTCAAAATCAAATTGATGCATTAGAGAACAGCGTATTTACGAGAGAAGGGATATCTGCAAGTGTAAAACATACCATGGCATTTACTATGGTAGATGGAAAGGTGTGCAACGCTGCCACACAGACAGCGTCTACCATGAAATGTTATATCTGTGGAGCAACACCAAAGCTTTTTAACGACCTTTCCATTAAGAGAGATGTGGATAGTGACGCTTTATCATTTGGTTTGTCCATTTTGCATGCGAGAATCAGATTATTCGAAAGTATATTACACCTTTCTTACAAATTACCTGTAAAAAAATGGCAGTTTAGATCCGAAGCTGACAAGACTGTTGTTAAAGAAAGAAAAGTTGAAATACAAAAAGTATTTAGGGAAGAAACAGGCTTAATAGTAGATGTACCTAAAGCTAATTTTGGTAACACCAATGACGGCAACACCAGTCGACGATTTTTTGCCGAGCCACAAAAAGCAAGTAAAATCACTGGAGTTGATTTCAATTTAATTTATAGACTAAAAATAATTTTGGAAGTGATTTCAAGTGGCCACAAAGTCGATTTAAAAAAATTTGCTGACTATTGTTTTGAAGCTGCAAAAATTTATATTTCTTTATATTCGTGGCATCCTATAACCCCAACAATGCACAAAATTCTTTTGCATGGGGCAACAGTTATGGAGAAAGCGTTATTGCCAATCGGGATGCTATCCGAAGAGGCCGCTGAAGCCCGCAACAAATATTTTAGGATGTACCGAAATAGCTTTGCACGAAAATTTTCAAGAGTAGAGTGCAATCTTGACATCTTGAATAGACTTTTGTTAAGTTCCGACCCATTAATAACCAGCCTAAGACCGACAATACCAAAATCATCAAAACGTTTTTCGAAAGAAGCTATTGAAATGTTGATTCCAGCCGATATAAACACAAATATGGATAATTCAGACTCAGAAGAGCTTACAGACAAAGAAGACAATGAATCAGAACCATGCCCCTAATCATGGTCTAGTTAATTATATTGTTTTAATTGAATTTAAATAAAGTGTTCCTCGCAAATAAAAAAATATCTGCACTCAATCGTTTTTTTAAAAGCTTATCAGACACAAGTTATTTATCTCAACATAAAATAACATGAGAAACCTTAAAATTTCATAATAGCGGGAAAAATAATTTTGGCCAGCCAGATCGGTGAAATACCCGTATGTGCGCCGGTGCGAAAGAGTGTCTGCTAGAGGAGAGTCATCGTTCACTCGGACCGCCCTCCTCTGGACAGCATCGAGCATGGATAATGTAGTCGGGGCGGCAGCACCCCAACAGTTTGAGCAATACTCGAGGCTAGACCTTATCTGAGCCTTGTATAGAGTGCAAAGGTCATGCGGAGAAAAGTACTTCTTAGCCCTAAACAAATGGCCTAGCTTTTTCCCAGCAGCTGCAGCTATTGACGAAATGTGTTCGTGCCAGATCAGGTCCTCGGTGATCTGGACTCCGACCAGCCGAAATGAATGACTCTTTGGCAGAACTCGGATATCCATCCAAGTGCAGAACTGTGTTTTGGAAGCATTGAACTGTACAAGATTGTTGCATTCCCAAGAAGTGATAGCCTCCAGGTCTCTTGTCAGAGAGGAAGTCGCTAGTCTTCTTTTTTCCAGCTCAGCGGCAGAGATCGGCTTGTCACTCTGAATTCCTGCATGTAGAGTGCTATCATCAGCGATGCTGTGGATTGGGTTGATCGTGCAGGAAAGGAGGTCGTTGATATGTAAGAGAAACAGTGTCCCATCTGCAAAGCTTTTCTGGGAGGCCAAAGGATGGAAGTTTGCTTAAGAGGGCAGCTTGCCACAGCTGATCGAACACTTTCGTGATGCCAAGAGCAACGACATGAGCCTCGCCATAAGACTGGATAAGTTTACTACACAATTGCGGGACGTAAGCTAGGACGTCCCCTGTGGATCGTTGGTGCCGAAAACCATACTGCCTGCCGCTAATCAAGCTGTGACGTTCGAGGTAGTCCAAAAGCTCGCGTTTTATGCACCTCTCCATCACCTTACTTATAACAGAAAGCCTGTAGTTGTAAGGGTTCGATTTTAGATCCTTTTTTTGGGCTGGGTTGGACATGAGCAAAATTCCAGTTTTCTGAGAAGGTGCCGGATTCATAAGATATCTGGAAGAGACGAGAAAGAACTGGAGCAAGCTCCGCTGCACACCTCGTCAGTACAAGGGCAGGAATCAAGTCCGGGCCAGAAGCTTTGTTTATATCGAGCTACAAGAGCACTCGTCTTACGGTTTTATGCCTGAATGTTACCTCCCGTATAGTGTAGGGGGAAGCCTTTGAATTGACGGCACTTTGGCGTTGGGGGGACGTCCGTGGTGGAGTTGGCAGCAAAGATCTTGACTAGCACTTCCGCCTTGGCCTTTGAGTCGAATACAATCGTTCCATCCTGACACGTAAGTAGTGGAGGCTACTGTGTAAAAAAATCTTTTCAATCTGCTTGGCCAGCGTCCAGAAAGACCGACTGCCATTGCGCTGCGACATTAACCTTTGACTAACATTTATATCGCGCTGGTTTTTGGCATTGCAAACCGCCTCGTTATATTTGTTTCTGGACTCGACGACGGCTTGTCTGTTCTCTACAGTGGGGGTTTGTAAGAAGGTTCTGTGTGCCTTGATATTTTTCTGGTGAGCAGTGTCACAGGATCTGTTAAACCAGCCGTTGGACCCTGGTTTGGGCACTGTCACTGTGTAATGTGTATAATTTCGGTTATCGAAGAACAGACAGTAGACATATCTCCAAGGAAAGCTAGAGAAGAAGTCTCTGAGTCCCTCCCAGTCGGCATGTCCGTAATGCCAAGTTTTGCGGCCAATACTAGTTTCTGCTGCCACAGCGGCTTCTGACCCAAACCCAACCTCCACAACACCGTGGTCTGAGTTACCCAGGGGGACAGGACAGCAGTGCTGTAAGGGACAGGATACGTAGTCACACAGAGACCCAGAAGGCGACTGGCATGCGACGAGACGCCGGGAAAAAAGTAGGGCTCGTCACCAGCTGGGTCAGCCCTTGAATAAGAGCGAACGCTTCAGCTGCGTGACCTGCTGCATCTGTTTTGTTTGAACCCAACCAAAGCTTATTACGGGCGTTGATATCACCGACGAGAACTACCTCTGAATGGGCGATTAATGTCCAGGAAGTCGATCTTGACGGCGAGATATTCAAGTAGGTCGTCCCAGTTATGGTCAGAGGGAGAGCGATAAAGGCAGCAAATAAATTTGGGGGATCTTTTAGAGTTGACGCAAAGCCACAGAATGTCCTTGCGGTCTGATTCCAAAGAAACATCTCTGGAGCAGGAAAAACTGCTGCGGACAAAAGCTACGACCCCCCGTTCTTTCCCAAATTGGAGTGCAATTCGTAATTTGGGAAGCCAAGATGGTTAATCGGTGCAGACTCTGAGATTTTTGTCTCCGCCACGAAAAGCATGGCGGGACGATTGGATTGCAGGTAGTGATGAACAGCATCAATGCTGCTGTTAATCCCGCAGATTTTCTTATAACAAATTTTATCTTCGATGCTGTTCCCTCGAGCCCACCCTTCACCCGGATATTCCGAGAGTGAAGTGAGTTTACGTCCGCAGTTCTTAGTGCTGGAGGGATCTATCGTCATTAATTTCTTTGTTTTGGAGGATAACCGACTGCATAGCTTAGGTTTGGAAACAGACGAACATTTATAAGAAAAGCCAGCGGGTGGTACCTCCTCGGTCGACTGGTCCTTGTCTACCACCTTCTTTTCACGTGTTAATGACATTAAATAGATCTGAAGTGGCCCATTGGCGGACTTGTACCGCCATCCGACAATCGATCCTGAGGTATTCCTTAAGGCGTGTAAAATCACTTCAACGGGAATAGGTTGTATACTGGATACAACAACTTCCGGAACAAGCATTTGCCACGGTCCCGTTCAATAGGGTAAAGGTTGACAGATTACCGCACGCAACACGACATGGGAGTTTGTGAGCAAATTCAGGATCAGCGGGAGCTTTATCAGGAGAAAACGCTATATCTCTAAGCCACAGAGGCAAAACGAATCTCAGGCTTCCGATTCTAGTTCTAGGAACTGGTTCGCGAACGAACTACTTTATGCAACAGTACCACAAGAAATATAGAAACATTAAAATAGCGGATATTTCAGTCTTTCAGTCGAGATTAAATGAAAACGATTCGTTCATATTTTTGAACCGTTCCAATGCATTCCACTAATCACAAATGCGTTCTCCCAACACTAACATTACAAGACACTCATTTCAACTGTCAATTCGTCAATACTAAAACAAAAATATTTATATGGAAATTGGCTGAGAAATCTAGCATGTTCTGAATATAGTAGTTACTGTAAATCGTAGTTTGCTGATGGTACACTTAACATAACCACATGTTTAGGGATTGCAGGCTTAACGTGAACACGACAGTGTAATATGTAATACTGCAGTAAAAAAAATCTTGGATGGGGACTTTTTATATGGAAATTAATTTTTACAAAATACCATTTTCCAGCAGTACCTCGACGTCAAATATCAACACAGAACAAGTAACGTTGGAGAATAGACGACAGTAGAGAATTTTGACACCTCAGGGTTGCCACATTTCGCCACCCGAAAGGTGTATGATCACATCGTGGTTGACTGTGACTTGTAGACGTTAGAGCTAAAAACTTTTATGACATTGAAAATCAAAAACAAAGAAAAAAAGGTATATTTGCTTAAAATGAGTGAATAAATAATAACATAAACAATAAATAATTAAAAGCAACAGATACAAAATCATTAACTGAAACACTCTTTAACAAAACAACATAATAAATGGAGTATATATATATATATATATATATATATATATATATATGTATATATATATATATATGTATATATATGCGCAGTAGTCTTTGCCAAAGCCAACGACTAGTTGGGTACAAAATACAATTACTTGTTAATTGGGAAATTGGCAAAACTTTTACGCTTAAGTTGACTCTTTTGACGATAAAATCAAGCTTTCGGCATTCTCTATGGAGCCATCATCAGGATTCTGAAAACACAATTGTGATGCTAGCAAAGAAAACAGGACAGATTTAAAATGTCAGACAACTTACTCGTCGGTGAGGTTGCAGACACAAGGTGTTTCAGAAAGAACGTAGAGAAGATCGAACTTGTGATCAGTATAAAAACAAAAGGACGAGGACATTGGGCTTGTTGAAAAACGACAGATAGCTTCGCTAAAAGTTAAGAAAAAATAAAAATTATATCAATACACCCGAACAAGTTAAAAATATTACACGTGGGGAGACATTTTGTTGAAACAATCGGAATGCAGTTCCTAACCTTCTACTACCGCTACACGTGGAGAGGGGGAAGCCACGGAAAGGTAAAGCGTCGACAGATGACAAGTGATTGACGCGGCGGACCGTGATTGACGCGGCGGACCGTGATTGACGCGACGGACGGTGGAAATGTACACCTCCCTGACAAACTTTGGGTATGAAGTATACGAGGGACGCTCGGTAAATCTCCAACCAAAATTACTAAAATGCTGAAATAACTTGTTTTGGAAAAAAGTGTGTGCAAGAATGTGTGATATTATTTTGTGAAGATGTTGGATCAATTTGGACATGTAGCCGTTCTAGCTTTTCGCAATTCAACAGGTAGGAATAAATGACACTGAGTTGCTTAACATCAGCCTTTTTATTCATGCAATGATCTGTCATGAAAATGTGGGGCATTTCTAAAAATAAACGTATTGAGAGTATTTTTTGTTAATATGCGACGCCAAAGCACATCTTTCTGGATGTTATCTGGCATCACTTTTGTGTGACGTTATCCTGCCCTTTAGCGACCTAGAAGTTTGGACTATATGAATTAAATTGCAGTTGTTGCAATTAATACGATAGACAGTATTGGTTGAATCAAGCAACTGAACCTTATCTTTCATTTTGGACAACAAACTGTTGACTGTGAGAAC